CAGAGCGTGGGCTGGGCCACACCTGGCTGTTTGAGGAGGCACCGCTTCCCCCAGCCTCTCCTACGCGCCCCCGCCGCGGTCGGTCCTGGAAGTGATGTCACCTCCGCCCCAGACTCCGCACCCCTTAGGGATGGCCCTGCCTGGAAGAGCATTAAAGGATCTTATCACAAAACCATCTAGTGTGTATAAGTAAGCTCGGTGACCAGTCCATCTCTGGTACAGAAATACATGACATGGTGTCAGGAGTAAATTAAGGACAGACACAAAGGCTGCAGACAGAAGGAACGGTGACAAAGGTTGCAGGATCTCATCAACATGCCACTCTTTGATGGCTCTGGGAACTTGAGCTTTGACAAACCTTCCCAATGGACAGAGTGGAAGCTTACTGCTGGGGAGGGTCGCATGACTGTGTTTTGCAAGATTCTGAATTGCAAACAAACTCCACAAAGAAACTGGAGATATACAGGTATCTTCTTTAATTTACATAGTATGGGGAAGAAGGCAGAGCATATCTTTAAATCCTTTGACTTTACTGAATACAATCACAAAGACTACTGGAAAGTTGCATACTTTATACCTCAGAGAAATGTGGTTTATGAAAGAGCATGTTTCCACCAGAGAATTCAAGAACCAGGGGAAAATGTTGAGTGTTTTATAGGAACTCTGCATATATTGGCTGAAAACTGTGATTTTGGGAATGCAAAACATGAAAATATCTGAGACAGGCTGGTTATTGGGTTAACAGATAAAAACTTTTCAGACCAGCTACAATTGATGAGAGATTTAACCCTAGCCACATATTACAGAAAGCAAAGCAGTTGAGCAGCAGAAAGAGACAGCAAAACCAAGAGCAACTTGCCAAACTTGAAAACCAAAAAATAAGCCTAGATGCTGTTAACAGATGCAGCAGGAGTGTTAAAAGTACTTACCATGAGACCCCAGAGACAAGAAGAAAGAACTCCCAGGCTAAGAGGGACAAATTCTAGCCTACATGCACAAGGTGTGGAAAAAGTCATATCCCAAGAGATGACGCATGTCTAGCCGGAGACGCACAGTGATATACATGCACAAAATATGGACATTTTGCAGCTGTTTGCTACACCAAAGCAGTCAGGGAGTTGACACATATTCCAGACAATCAAGAGCTGTTGTTTCTGGGATCTATCACTTGTGATGCCACACAGCCTCCCCGGGGAGTGAAACTGAATATTTATGGCAAGATAATTGATTTCAAAACTGACTCAGGAATTGACATCACAGTCCTCTCAGAAGGGGCTTACAATCACCTTCAACCCCTCCCAGGGCTGAAGTCACCTGACTACACTCTGAGTAGCCCTGCAGGTTTTCTGAACTGCATGGGCCAGTTCACCACTGAAACAACTTACGAAGACAAAAGCTTTGCATTCATAGAATCATAGAATCATAGAATATCAGGGTTGGAAGGGACCTCAGGAAGTCATCTAGTCCAACCCCCTGCTCAAAGCAGGACCGATCCCCGACTAAATCATCCCAGCCAGGGCTTTGTCAAGCCTGACCTTAAAAACTTCTAGGGAAGGAGATTCCACCACCTCCCTAGGAAACGCATTCCAGTGTTTCACCACCCTCCTAGTGAAAAAGTTTTTCCTAATATCCAACCTAAACCTCCCCCACTGCAACTTGAGACCATTACTCCTCGTTCTGTCATCTGCTACCACTGAGAACAGTCTAGAGCCATCCTCTTTGGAACCCCCTTTCAGGTAGTTGAAAGAAGCTATCAAATCCCCCCTCATTCTTCTCTTCTGAAGACTAAACATCCCCAGTTCCCTCAGCCTCTCCTCATAACTCATGTGTTCCAGTCCCCTAATCATTTTTGTTGCCCTCCGCTGGACTCTTTCCAATTTTTCCACATCCTTCTTGTAGTGTGGGGCCCAAAACTGGACAAAGTACTCCAGATCAGGCCTCACCAATGTCGAATAGAGTGGAACGATCACGTCCCTCGATCTGCTGGCAATGCCCCTACTTATACAGCCCAAAATGCCATTGGCCTTCTTGGCAACAAGGGCACACTGTTGACTCATATCCAGCTTCTCGTCCACTGTAACCCCTAGGTCCTTTTCTGCAGAACTGCTGCCGAGCCATTCAGTCCCTAGTCTGTAGTGGTGCATGGGATTCTTCCGTCCTAAGTGCAGGACTCTGCACTTGTCCTTGTTGAACCTCATCAGATTTCTTTTGGCCCAATCCTCCAATTTGTCTAGGTCCCTCTGTATCCTATCCCTGCCATCCAGCGTATCTACCACTCCTCCCAGTTTAGTGTCATCCGCAAACTTGCTGAGGGTGCAGTCCACGCCATCCTCCAGATCATTTATAAAGATATTGAACAAAACCGGCCCCAGGACCGACCCTTGGGGCACTCCATTTGATACCGGCTGCCAACTAGACATGGAGCCATTGATCACTACCCGTTGAGCCCGACAATCTAGCCAGCTTTCTCTCCACCTTATAGTCCATTCATCCAGCCCATACTTCTTTAACTCGCTGGCAAGAATACTGTGGGAGATCGTGTCAAAAGCTTTGCTAAAGTCAAGGAACAACACATTCACTGCTTTCCCTTCAGAGTGTATATGACCAAAGGATCACAGACCAACAGCCTTCTCAGCTGCAGAATGGCAGCCACGATTGGGCTAGTGAGAAAGCAGGAATAAGTCAACGGAGGTTTTGATTATATTGGACTTTTGACAGGAGATCCAGTACAAATCAACTTACAAGACAATGCTGAGCCATACAGTGTAAAACCCCTCTACCGGAGAGACCTTGGAAGAGACTAGCTGCAGCTATATGCACATTCAGAGGACATCATTACCTGGTGATTGTGGACTGTTTTTCCAGGCATATAGAAGTAATGTACCTGAAAGATGTAATGTGTGGCTGTGTTACCAAGAAACTGAAGTGCACCATTGCTCACTTTGATATTCCAGAACCAATAGTGATGGGCAATGGACCACAATTCACTGCAGCAGAATTTAAATCACTCTGAATGAAACAGGATTTTGATCATATTACTAGCAGCCTATACCACCCACAAGCAAATGGAGAGGCTGAGAGAGCTGTACAGACAGCAGGAAAATCCTACAGCAGGAAGACCCACTCCTTGCTCTCCTGAGTTACAGAGCACGATCAATAGCAGCTACTGGATACTGTCCAGCACAACTCCTGTGGGGAAGACAACTCAGAACTACTGTTCCAACTTTGGAAAAGAACCTATGTCCATAATGACCAGATATGAAGAGAGTAGTCCAATCAGATAAAAGGGCTTAAAAGTGCTTATGGACACTTATATAATAGACATCACTCAGTCAGAGAACGGCCCGGTCTAGAACCTGGTGACCACGTACATGGAGAAAAAGGACGGACAACTCCAGCTGTCATAAAGAAAAAGAATTCAGTGCTCAGATGGTATGTGATAAGCGACCCACAGTGGAGAGTTCACCAGAAGCCATTGACATCTACAGTTTGTTCCTCAGAGAGAACAATCAACAGAGCAAACTCAACAGACAGCGGATGCAGAACAAGACGCCGACGCCTGACCAATTCCAAACCAATCACAGCTAGTCATTGCAATTAATGGACAGTCAGATGAGCCAGTTGTTACGGGTTCAGGCTGTGTAATTAGAAAACTGGGATGATTCAGAGACACTTCACAAACCGATCCATACTGAACTTTGATGACAGCCTGATAGTGAAATACTGTAAAGGGTAGGATTGTCGAACTTGAAGGGGGAGATGTGACGGACACTGGGTGACACTGGTCAGCCACTAGGTGACAGTGTGTAAAATATCTTATGTGAGCTCACCTCCGCCAGCCCTGGGAGAGCAGTAAAGGATCTTATGATGAACACCTCTGGTGTGTACAAGTAAGGTCTGTAGCCAGTCCACCTCTTGTACAGACATACATGACAGACGATTGATAAGACAGGCAGGCAACATGGTCCAATGGAGAGACCACAGGATTGGGATGGGAGTCAGGAGACCTAGTCTCTATTCCAGCCACTGACTCACCATGTAATCTAGGGCAAGTCTCTGTGCCTGGATTTCCCCACCAGTAAATGGGGATAATGACATTCACCTTCTTTGAGATCAGTGGCTGGAAAGTGCTAAGTATGGACAGACAGACAGATTTCTCTATAACCCCGGTCATTGCAAAGCTGCTGCAGCATTCTGTATTAGGATTCTGCAGTGGTTTTCTCCCAGCACAGTTTTATGATGTATTTTTCCCAAAAAAACTTTACTTCTGAAAATGCTCACCGAGAAACGGAGACCTGGATACTGTGCAGGGCAGAGACAGGGTTGTGTCCTGCCTGTGTGCAGGAGGGTCTCCTTTAATTGTCTTGCTTCACTCTTGCTTTCCTTCCCCATCATCTGAGTCACAGCTTGGACAGCCCTGAGCCTGGAAGTGGATTTTGCCACATTACAAAGGAAATGAGTGGCTGGTTAAGCAAAGCTAGTTCACCCAGGCAGGAGGGGAGATTTCAAGGCACTGGCTGGCACACCCCTTCCAGGAAGAGACAGAGAAAAAAAACACTTTGGAGGGAAATAGAACAGTTAGAAAAACAAGCCTGTGTGGGCGTCTTGTGTTCATCTTGGCAGGCACCACGGGCCAGATTCACCCCGGTGGGACCGCACTGAGTTCCACGGGCACGCACCAAGGATGGATTTGGCCGCTTGGTTTTAAGATGCTTCCCCTGCCTGTTTTGCTCGCACCCCAGTTCGTGTGCTGTGTGGGCATGAAGAAAGCCTGCCTCTGTGCACAATGGGAGCTGCTGTTCCTGGGGCCTGGCTCGCTCTGTGAATGTTTTGCAGATGAAGCAGCAAGGCGTGAGCTAGACTGAGTTTAAGACGTCTTTCCCAGACAGCCCCCTCCCTCCTTCCCCCTTTCCACTCCCTCCCCCTCCCCTTCACAAGCAGGGCTTGCTCTTTTATACAAGAGACGAGAGGTGGGTGGCTGGGTGGGAGGGATCCTCTCTGCCTTACTCTGGTCGGGAACGGGATGGAGGTACGGAGGCAGAGGCTGGCCTGACTCAGGCAGAGCCCCCTCTGCCCCTCGTCTGGCTTCCCTGCAACTTTTCTAGGGCAACTGGATTTCATTGAGGATCCGCCAGAAGAAAAAAGAGCCACTTGCATGGACTGGAGAGAGTGGCAGGGCAACTAGATGCACTAGGAAAACTTCTAGCATCCAGGGAGAAGTGACAGTTACCTCCTTGCTCCCGCCAGCCTCCCTGCCACTTCCTAGCAAACCATGGTAATGCCTTCTGCTTTTGTACCTTTTTAATGACTTTTCCCACTAGCTTTCCCTGTCTGCTTCTCTCCTCTGTCCCCTGCTGCCAACACAGACCGCACACCTGGCCCTGCAGCAAAGTCCTAGCAGTAGCCTGCTGCTTTAACGCTCTCAGTGCACGGTGGGTGGCATCCTTTCCAAGGCCCTGTCTTTCTGTATGCTTTGCGCCACACCGGGCGCGGCTGTCAGCCCCGAAACGCTAACGCTCAGGTGTAACGCTGCTCCTTGCCGAGTGGGAATGGGGAGACAGACTGACGACAGAGCTCGCTTCTCAAACCATTTGTGCCTGGGAGAATTCCCTTCTCACACAGAGACCGTGTCTCCAGCAGATTGAGCAGACGTTTGGCACCAAGTAGAAAGAAGGGCACAAAGATCACTAGCAGCTGTTTGGATGGAAGTGTGTGGGACTGCAAAACATTGTGGTTAAAACCTCCCCGCACTCCCTTGTTATGGCTGCAGGGAATTAGAGCCAGAAACTGTGTGTTAATAACTTCGCTCCTTCTCCCTTTGCTATGCAGGGACGATATTCCTTACGTCGGGTCCCTATGCTAGGGCTCTCAGGAGCTGCATTACTGTTACTGACACACTGTGCCGCCTTGAGCGGCTGGGATGTGCTGTACGGACCTTGTCTCTTACCTTCCCTGATGCTTTGACTCATCTTTAAAGTTTGGATCCTGCAGTCCTTGCTCAAGCTAAACTCCCCTGATGTAAGAGCTGCAGCCGCGGGAGTGGAATTGTTATTGGCTGCCGGTTTGTGCTCTCAAAGCTCTGCGTAAGGGAGAGGGAGTGGTATGCTTGGTGACTTGAGAGTTAAATGAACAACCTTACAGTGCCAAAACTGTATTTATTGTGAAGATCTAACCCTTCCCCGAGATCCAGACAGACAGCTTTATAAAAACAGATGGGGATTTTGGGGAAACATCATTGTCTCCATTTTAACTACACTTTAGGTTATTGAAATGGAAATAACTTATAAAATCTCAGTCTCTTTATGCTCTTAGTGACTTTTGTTTTCTTTTTGCACTTCACTTAAATTGGTCGAAGAAAGTCGACTGGTCAGTTCCCTTTAGTTCCTAATCACTCCCTAGTTAGTGTCCCTTTTTGCCTCGTATTTGCATGCGGCTGCTGCTCTCTATTCACAGCCAAATTAGTCTCATTTACTGATGGGAGGTTTTTTGGTAACATTTCATTAAGTCGTTTTGTCATCTTGGGCCAAATCATCCCTGGTGGAATTGACCTTGGTGGAATTACACCAAGAATAAAGTCGGGTCATTAGGATCTGTAAAATCCCACTCTCCTCTTCTCTCTCTCTCTCTCTACATGGGGGCCCCAAATTCAGTTGACAATTTTCTTTAACCCTGGTTTAAGAGGGCCCTGCTGCTTTACAAATTACAACATTAATTTGAACTGGTTCATCGTGGAGGGGGGGCAGGATTTGGACTTCTTCATCTCTGTTTTATTACAGCAACAGGACACCCAGTGAATTCAGTACCTCACCAGCTGGTGGGAGGTGGCTAAATTACCGAGCTCTCCTTTGAGATTTGGGAGTAACAGCACCGGCTGCTCCATTCACTGTCCCAGTCAACAGACCAAGGAAGGGCATGAGAACCAGCAGACAGGCGGTTTGAAGTGCCATGGTACCCAGACAGCAGGACAGAACAGAGAGATGAAGCTGACTTGCAAGACAGTCTACAAAAGAGTAGCATCCCCATGCCCCAAAGCCACCCAACCAGGCCCCTTGCGCCAATCTGACTGGGGGAGAAAACCCAGTATTGTGCAAGTGTCTGTTTGCAGGGGACGCCAGATCTCAGCGGAGGTCAGGAGGCCAGCACTGTATGGGCTCACATGGACATAGCTCCCTGCCTCCCGCATCCTCTCTAGAGGAGGTGCCTGCATGTCAGGGCAGAAGCAGATTGACACAAGCTTGCTTTGCAGCCCTGCACCATGCTGTGCGGCCTTAGCGTAGGAGACACTTCATAGAATCATAGAATCATAGAATATCAGGGTTGGAAGGGACCTCAGGAGGTCATCTAGTCCAACCCCCTGCTCAAAGCAGGACCGATCCCCAATTAAATCATCCCAGCCAGGGCTTTGTCAAGCCTGACCTTGAAAACCTCAAAGGAAGGAGATTCCACCACCTCCCTAGGCAACGCATTCCAGTGTTTCACCACCCTCCTAGTGAAAAAGTTTTTCCTAATATCCAACCTAAATCTCCCCCACTGCAACTTGAGACCATTACTCCTTGTCCTGTCCTCTTCTACCACTGTGAAAAGTCTAGAACCATCCTCTCTGGAACCACCTCTCAGGTAGTTGAAAGCAACTATCAAATCCCCCCTCATTCTTCTCTTCCGTAGACTAAACATCCCCAGTTCCCTCAGCCTCTCCTCATAAGTCATGTGTTCCAGTCCCCTAATCATTTTTGTTGCCCTCCGCTGGACTCTTTCCAATTTTTCCACATCCTTCTTGTAGGCTGGGGCCCAAAACTGGACACAGTACTACAGATGAGGCCTCACCAGTGTCAAATAGAGGGGAACGATCACGTCCCTCGATCTGCTGGCAATGCCCCTACTTATACATCCCCAAATGCCATTGGCCTTCTTGGCAACAACGGCACACTGTTGACTCATATCCAGCTTCTCGTCCACTGTAACCCCTAGGTCCTTTTCTGCAGAACTGCTGCCGAGCCATTCGGTCCCTAGTCTGTAGCAGTGCATTGGATTCTTCTGTCCTAAGTGCAGGACTCTGCACTTGTCCTTGTTGAACCTCATCAGATTTCTTTTGGCCCAAACCTCTAATTTGTCTAGGTCCCTCTGTATCCTATCCCTACCCTCCAGCGTATCTACCACTCCTCCCAGTTTAGTGGCATCTGCAAACTTGCTGAGGGTGCAATCCACGCCATCCTCCAGATCATTTATGAAGATATTGAACAAAACCGGCCCCAGGACCGACCCCTGGGGCACTCCACTTGACACCAGCTGCCAACTAGACATGGAGCCATTGATCACTACCCGTTGAGCCCGACAATCTAGCCAGCTTTCTCTCCACCTTATAGTGCATTCATCCAGCCCATACTTCTTTAACTTGCTGGCAAGAATACTGTGGGAGACCATGTCAAAAGCTTTGCTAAAGTCAAGGAACAGCACGTCCACTGCTTTCCCTTCATCCACAGAACCAGTTATCTCGTCATAGAAGGCAATTAGATTAGTGAGGCATGACTTGCCCTTGGTGAATCCATGCTGACTGTTCCTGATCACTTTCCTCTCCTCTAAGTGCTTCAGAATTGATTCCTTGAGGACCTGCTCCATGATTTTTCCAGGGACTGAGGTAAGGCTGACTGGCCTGTAGTTCCCAGGATCCTCCTTCTTCCCTTTTTTAAAGATGGGCACTACATTCGCCTTTTTCCAGTCGTCCGGGACTTCCCCCAATCACCATGAGTTTTCAAAGATAATGGCCAATGGCTCTGCAGTCACATCCGCCAACTCCTTTAGCACTCTCAGATGCAGCGCATCTGGCCCCATGGACTTGTGCTTGTCCAGCTTTTCTAAATAGTCCCGAACCACTTCTTTCTCCACAGAGGGCTGGTCACCTCCTCCCCATGCTGTGCTGCCCAGAGCAGTAGTCTGGGAGCTGACCTTGTTCGTGAAGACAGAGGCAAAAAAAGCATTGAGTACATTAGCTTCCTGCATTGTCGGAAGGGGTTTTTCCACTGCTGTAGGGAATCCACCTCCCCACGTTGCGGTAACCAGGCTGACAGAATAATTTGTCCTTCGACCAAGCCACGTGTACACCAGGGCGAGGTTGGCTTAACCACAGTGCTTAGAGGGTGTGAATTTTTCACACCCCTGAGCGCCACAACTATGTTGAACTAATTTTTACATGTAGACCAGGCCTAAGGCTGGCAAGTCTGACACAGCCTTCACTTTAAAATGGTAAACAGAGAGCTCTGCAACCAGGCTGAAATCTGCCTCACTGAGAAGTGAGAATTTAATGGCAGGGTGTGTCTACCTGGGGACACTCAGGAAAGCTCCTCAGAATTAGCTAAAAGGTGTGCCGTTAAAGTGCATTAGCTAAAACCCACTAAAGCTAATTAAGCTAAGCTGGACAAAGGCAACTTTACTTCTAAAGTAGCATGTCCACAGAGGGGTTTAATGTGCTTTAACTAGTGCACTCTAAATTCACACCTTGGGATGATTCCACTTAACTTCCCCCAGTGTCCCCATGTCGACATGTGTGTGACAGTCTCGCCCCCTCAGTCCCCGTGTGACAGCTACAGACCCCGCGGGGCAAGTGGCTGGGCTTGTTCAAGTACCAGAAAGCCATTGCTGATACAGCTCTTGGCTGGATCAATGGGAGGTTGCTAACTAAAGCTCCTCTAGGCTTGAGACTGTGCTCAGAGCTTTGGAATTCCTCCATATCAAGTAGAGTTAAATTTGGAGACTGACCGTCCTACCAGGTCAAGAAGCTCAGATCTGTAGCAGGTCAAGCTTGACAGCAGGAGATAAACGCGCTCTCTCTGTTATCTAGGGATTGAACAGAGACAGATCAGGAGATTTTACAGATCTATCAAAACTCAACACATCCTAGTTAAAAAGTATATTGGGGTTAATTCTTCCATCAGCCCAGATTTTGCAGAAACATTGGTTTGCATGCTCAGAAACCGCCATTTGTGTGTGTCTATGGGCCTCTGTACATGCAAATCCAGGCAAGTCTTTATTTGTCCACCTGTCCACTTCCTTCACAAATAGTAGCGCTGGGAGTGCTATCTCAGGCTATTATAGCTGCATTAGTATTTACTCTCCATGAATGGCTTGAAAGCCCATCCTAATGGCTTGAAAAGCCAATGTCTGTCCTTACTAGTTATGTGGTTTTTCTATTTGACAACAATTTTTATTTCCCCCCACCCCGTTACAGCTGAAATTTAACATGAACTCATCCTGATTGCTTCCCTTTGTGTACCAGTTATGACAGTCAGATTAGCACAGCCTGGGAAACAGGGTTTGTTTAATTAACTGCTTCTGCAGAGTCAGGTCAGCGAATTGGAAATATCATTGAGTGGGCCTTACACAAATGGTGGCTCTTGTTTTAGTCTGGCGGGTTTTGTTTTGCAAGGAATGGGGCTGTAGAATATGTAGGATATTTCCTAACAGATTCTCCAGTGATTGGTTGGGAATCAGTGAAATGTAGGGATGAGGCTGAACCAGAGCAATCAAGGTGCCTGGCCTCATGCGCTGTCAGCCCTCCCCGCAATTGTATTTCTAAGACACCTGCCAGTGTCTGGGAAAGAGCTTAGCAGTGAACAGCTCTGAACTCGGGGGAAGCTGGGACCGGATCTAATCTCCCTATAATGGGCTGAGCCAAATCACCAGGTGTGAATACTCCTGAATCTGAGGAGTTTAGAATTTGGAGCCTGCACTTGGAAACTCAGGCCCACCACAAATCAAACTAGTATAAACCTAGGGCATACTTGTGACCCTTTAAATCAAAAGCCCCTTAACAGGTCTGTTCAAAAGACAGTCCTTGTGACGCGAGTGGCATCTCCCCAATTGGCTCAGACCTTTAGACCGTTCCTCACTTCAGCAGTGTCGTAACTAATGTACACCGCGTCCCAGAAAAGCACGGTTACTCCCGAGGAGATGCGTCTGTTGCACGTGACTCTGCCAGCCACGCTGGTGTATTTAAATCAGTGTTCTTCCTTTACAGACACTTCCACACTCCCACCAAGCTGGAGGGCCGGTCTGGAGGCTCTGTGAGGAGGCTGGGAAAGCGAGTGATGGATGGGGTATATTAAAGTGGGGGAGGTGGGACAGGTCCCCAACAGGGGTGGAAACTGGCCCATTGCTAGTGTTGATCTGTCTAATGGATGATGCATTTCCCTGGCAGGATCCCCGGTCTCTGGATGCCGCGGTGCAGAACGCCCTGCTAGCCCTCTACCCGCCATTTGAAGTCACAGCCCCAACTGTCCTCAGCCAGCTCTTCCGCCTGCTCGACAGCAACTACCAGGGCGACGGGTTATGCTGCCTCCTTGATTTCCTGATTCCTGCCAAGCGCCTCTTTGAGCACGTGCGGCAGGTGGCCTGTGTGAGTCCATGAATAACAACTCCAGCCTCCCCCTCCCACAAGCCTCCCCAGAGCCCAGCTCTCAGCCCCAGGCCTGCCGTGGGTGCGTGGGTGCAGGCAGGCTGCCCCCACTGAAGCAAGCTTTCCGTGTAGACGCTAAAAGCTGTGCAATCCCACCTAGGGGCAGGGCAGTCTGGCAGTGAAGCAAGGAACAGTACAGGATGCCTGGATTCTCTCTTAGGGGCCTGCAGCAAAATCACCTTATCGGGGTCTCATTTTCTCATCTATAAAATGGGATGATGACACTTCCCCAAGCCCCCCAGGTTGCTGGGTTTATTAATCATTGTGAGGCATCTTGTGGCACTGCAGAGTCGGTCTGTACATCATTATTCCCACCCCAAATGGGAATAACGGCCCGGCCCGGCCGCACACCGGGACTGGGACAAATTGTCCAGTACGGGTTGCAAGGTTCTCGCAGACAGTGGAACAAAGGCCATATAATCATAATAATCCTGAGCTCTTACACAGCTCTTCATCAGTATCAAAGCACTTTACAAAGGAGAACAGGCTCATTATCCCCACTTTACAGATAGGGAAACTGAGGCCGGGGAGGGTAGTGGCTTGCCCAAGATCACCCGGAAGGCCTGTGGGAGAGCCGTCTCCTGATTCCCTGTCCGGCGCTCCATCCACTAGGCCACATTAAGCTGGCCAGATACCATTTCATTAACATAGTGGTTTTTTCTTCTCTTAGGCGCCTTACTTTAACTGCATCTTTCTCCATGAAGGCTGGCCCTTGTGTCTTCACGAGAAAGTGGTCATTCACCTTGCACCACTCAACCCCCTCTTACTACGCCCAGGAGACTTCTACCTCCAAGCAGAGCCCTACGGAGAGCAATCTGCCTGCATCACTGTAAAGTGCCTCTCTCAGGACTTGCGCACTGTGGAAGAAAGAACAGTTCCTGAATCCTCCTACACGCTGCTATTCACCAAGGAGTGGCTGGAGGAAATCAACCGAGACCTGGAGAGAGCACCTCTGCACACCTGCCTGGTAGCCACAGAAAAGGGAATTGCCCCTGTGCCTTGGAGTAAGATAGCCACGCCAGAATTCGTCAGCAAACCCAAAGCAGCACCAAGTCCCACCCAGGTCGGAGTGTCCCTTCCAGCACATGCACTGGACCTGGGCAGCTCTGAAGGGATGGTAGAGCCAGCATCACAGAGCTGCACAATGTCTTTTTGCATGACTGATGCTCAGGTGCCACATGGTAACAGCATGGGTAACGTCCAAGATGGCAAAGATGTTCCCTGGAGGGCCAGCCAGGGCAAATATCCAGGACTCATCAAGGTGGATCAAGCAGGATTGTGGAAGAAGCCCAGTGTGTTCGTTGTGCCAAGTCTGTGCGATATCATCAGCCAGGACCTGGACGGTGACTACGTCGACCTGCTGGAGTTTTCTGAAGAAATGAAGCTGGATCTTCTGGCCAGGTCAGAACCATCTGCTGAGCAACCTAGACCTTCTAGAGCAATAAAGGTGCCATCAGAGCGTAAATCACGGCTTCCAAGGGTGAACAGAGAGTCAGAAGCAGAAAAATGGACCTGTGGGAAAGGGCAGAGCTCAGAGGAGGGTCCCTGCACACCGTGTCTGAGGAGAAAACTGAACAGAGACCCAAAATTCCATGGGCCGAGGTGTCGATACCGTGAGTCCTACGTGGCCGCCCTTCAGAACCCTGTGAGCTTTGGCTCTGGGCTGATGGCAGCCATATTGGAGGAGTCTGATGTGCCCAAACCGGAGTTCCCTTCGGCAAGCACAACTCCAGAGAGTCCAGCTCACCCCAGACGGAGGCCAGGCCAGGCAGCCGCTCCCAGACTCCTCTCTGGCTGTCTTCAGAAGGTAGCGACTCAGGAAACGAAAGCCGAGGAGGTGACAAAGCAGGGATACTTAAAGCTTCTCAAGTCTCCTGCTGGTGCAATGAGAAACCTCCCTCGGCCACAGTCTCCCCCTGCCAGCCACAAATTCTCCTTCTTCAAAGGCCAACGACAACCAGCATCCCCAGGGGACAGTTTGTCTGGTACCAGCCAACATGAAGGGCCTCGGAAAAGGATGTCGGCTATTTACTCTCCCAGGATGAACAGAGCTAAGCTGGCTGGGAAAGGTAATAGCCAATAGAGGGTTGTACAATACTAGGTATAAAGCAATCGTGGTAGTAAGTTGTGCAAGCTTTGCCTCCTTTCCACTAAGAAGTCTGCCACATCTTTGATCTGTTTTCCTGGCCAGGTGCCGATCAGATGGATGCGTCTCTCTTCGACATCAACTCTCTCCAAGACACCAACTGTAAGAATGGTCTTTGTGCCGCCACCCTGAGCTCTCCTGCCCAGGAGCCACTGTCTGCAGAGTCCAGCCCTCAACGGCCACCCCAATGGCAGGATCTCTGCGTTGAGCTCTTGCGCTCGGGCGTAGCTTGTTTGCCAGGTACTGAACTCAGTGATAGGATCATGATTAGACCTACTCACTTTTCTTCATTCAAAATGTTTTTTTCAATGAAAGCTTTTTGTGGTCAAAGTGAAAATTTCCGCAGGGAATGTCCCACGGCCTACATTTTTTAGGGGTTTTGTTGCAAAATGGAAAGCACCAAAATGGCACAAATTTCAGCTGGTCATTTCAATAGAACTAAAATTATTTGCCGGGTCAGCTGAAATTTTTTTGAAGTGGCTGAGAACTAATTTTTAACTGAATATTTGGAGGGGGAGAGGGGGAGGGCGGGAGATTTACAATGAAAACGTGAACATTTCTGACAGAAACAAAAAATGCTGTAGGGAAAACCCAGACTTTTCCCAACCTGTTCTTATCTCCTGAAGGCACGGCAGAGCCCCCCAGGTGGGCAGGGAAACATTCTCCCCCCCATTTCACAGATGAGAACACTGAGACACAGATGAAAGCCCCCCAGAGCCAGAATTAGGGCTCCCAACACTGCACTCATTCCTCCAGACCCTCTGACAAGATCCTCCACGCCAGCTACTCAGACCAGGTGGGAACCTGAGGCGTTAGCAGTCATCAAGGTGAAAGTGAGGTCATAGATTCATAGATTCATAGATATTTAGGTCAGAAGGGACCATTACGATCATCTAGTCTGACCTCCTGCACAATGCAGGCCACAGAATTTCACCCACCCACTCCTGCAAAAAACCTCTCTTAGGTCATAGAATCATAGAATATCGGGGTTGGAAGGGACCCCAGAAGGTCATCTAGTCCAACCCCCTGCTCAAAGCAGGACCAATTCCCAGTTAAATCATCCCAGCCAGGGCTTTGTCAAGCCTGACCTTAAAAACCTCTAAGGAAGGAGATTCTACCACCTCCCTAGGTAACGCATTCCAGTGTTTCACCACCCTCTTAGTGAAAAAGTTTTTCCTAATATCCAATCTAAACCTCCCCCACTGCAACTTGAGACCATTACTCCTCGTCATGCGGGAGTTTAGGCCAATAGTATTTGCCGCAGCTGTTCCATGAAGTCCCCCAGGAGACATACTGGAGGTGCAGTACCATGCAAGCAGCAGTCCCTAAGGGCTTTCAGGGAAACCATGCGGTCGTGGGATGGAGCAGTTCAAGGGAGCATGCAGTAGATGACATTTGGATTCTCTGTGGTCTCCCACTCCACAGCAAACATAACATTGCCAAGTCTCCCGAGACCTGGTGTTTTCCTTGAAGCCTCAATTCCTGGAATCATGGAATAGGTTGAAATGCTGCTTTGTTTTGTTTTGTTTTTAAGAAAAAGCATGTCTCTAGCCTTCATGGTTGCAGAGAGAAAACAGCTTGAAAATGTGACTCTTAAAGGCTCAAAAAGAGAAGGCAAATAAAAGAGCCCAACCTTTGGTTTTGAAAAATCTGATGTCTTTGGGGGTCTCCTGAACACAGGGGCTTGGGCAGTACTGTGAACTGGTAACGCGACGTTTGATTTTTCCTGGCTGCAGGGAGCACAGATAAGCTTGGCCGGGCCCTGATCCAGGTGACCACGAGCAGCAGAGCATGGGAAGCCACCTGGTGCTCCACCAGAGAGGTAGCCCAGCTCCTCCTTTACCTCTGCTCCATCCCCAGGTAAGGGGAGAACACAGCACCCTTCCCACAACACCCATGTTATAGCATAACCCTAGCAGAGCACCGCCCGGCACAGCAGCCACTCAGCCTCAGTGTCCCAGCCAGTCTTCCTCTGCTCTGCCCAGCCTCCAACACCTTCTGGGTTGCAGCAGGTCCCGTACAGTTCTACCCCTTGCAGGGCACGCCAATTCCAAAACAAGGAGGGAACAACGTGAATTTAAATTCTGCCTTTTCCTTGGGAAGATCTGCTAGGCCCCAGGCCCTGACCACCCTTCTCCAGCCTCTGCTCTTTCTCTGCCTGCTCCCCGCAGCTGAGCAGGGCTCTGCCTTTTACCCTGGAAGCCAGACTTCTGTTCCAGGTATCTCAGTTTGGCTGACTAGGCCTCCAGCAGTCCATTAACCCCTTCCTGCCATGTACGGAGGCTTGCATGCCCCATTCCAATTCCTTTCAGGCAGCAGCATAGTCGAGGGTAAACACGGGTTAATGGAATTTGGGGAATATGGAGTTTAGGGAGCGGGTTCTGCCTGGGAGCTGGACATCCATACTCTGTCCTTTGCCTGCTTTGTGTCCCCATCCTGCTGCCTGGCAAAAGGGAGTCAGGTGGCTCTAGGCTGCTGGCAACTCTCCGGGGGCCCAGTCAATTATTGTGAAAGGCATTATTTCTGGAACTGCTCACTGTGGTGGTTTGGGGGCTTTTAACCCTCTGTGTGTAGCTGCATGGATTCCACCCGCCACGTGCTGGAATATGTACCACTGCCCCCTACTGGAGAACATTGGACATTGCATTGGCAGTTCAGACGTTCTTTCCACCCATCCTTCAAAATCCCATGTGAAGATAAATAGCGTATGTGATGTTGGGGGTGTTCAGGCATTTCTGAGGGGAGCAGGCAGAGAGAGAGAGAGCAGAGGTGGGGCTCTTGCCATGGGGGAGAAGGCTGGCCAGGGCCAAATGCCCCGAAGATCTTCCGGAGGAAAGGGAACAGTTTATGTTCATGTCCCAGGGTTTCAGCCTGAGACACAATCCCAGGAAGAGTCACTGAAATATGTAACTAATTCAGAGGATAATGTACACACCACGTGCCTTTTTGTCAATGTCATTAGCCATTGTGCATGAGAGTGAAGTACTCAAGGCTAGAAACCAGGGCCAGCCATAGGCAAGGCCACCTACTCCTCACAGAAGAGAAAATTAGAGTTCTACTGTACACTGAAACCTTGACTTAACTGGTAAATCAGGCTCTGCTTCTGGGGTCTTCGGATTGCTCCAGCCCTTCCCTGTTTGCGAGAGAAACATGCACACCCCCGCCGCTCCCAAAGCCACCTACGCTACTGATGGTAAAATAACCCCTAGAGGGGTAGGTGTGAAGTGATGAACTGTTCACAGTCTCCATGCAGGAGAAGGCCTGGGGTAATCCAAGCCATGTATTCAAGGGTTCAGAACCATTAAATCCAGCAGGTATCTCCCTCAGCTTTGGTCTGGAATGGAGAAGGGTGGGGAGATGGGCCACAGCACCTCCTGTTGGTTGGTTTGAAGTAGCTTTGAAGAATTCACGTTCCCTCTTGGCCTCAGTCTGGGCTCTCACGCGGGCGCTGACTTACTGCATGGCTGGGAGGGCGAGGACAGAGGTGCCAACTTGAAGTGTGGGGGAGAAGGGAGTGGGACAGCAGCTCTCAGGGGAAAGGAGGCCCTTAGAGTTTCCCTCACCAGACATCAGTGGGCGCACGTCTACACTGAGGCCGGAAGTGACCAGCGAGCTCCCAGCCTGGCAGACAGACCCAAGCGGGCGGGCTCGAGTGAGGGCGCTAAAACCAGAAATACAGAGGTTCCGGTGTGGGCTGACGCTCGGGCTCTGATGGCGAGGGGTGAGTCGGGCTGGGCGCCCAAGCTGATGCCTCCACTGCCCGCATTGCTCTGGTTGGCGCTCTAGCACGAGCTCTGCTAGCACGAGTCTGTCTGCCCGAGCTGGAAGATTCGCTCCCCGCTGCAGTGCAGGACGGTGCCTTTAGGAAAGGGGGGCATTTCCTCTCCAGCGGGGATGGGGAAACCCCAAATCAGCTGCTGAGGGTCTGCCACTCTTAACTAATGCCGTTTTCTTCCTCCAGTCAGAGCTCACTGTGGTTTATTTCGTTCTCCAGGAGGGAAACAAGGGACAGAGGGCTGACCATTGTGGTGGATGCCAGGAGACAGCCTCCCTCCCCGATCCTGCACACGGCATTCAGATCAGTCCAGGTACACGCTGGTCTCTGTTCAGTGGTGAGCTTAGCGGGATAAGGGGGCCCAGGTAAGCACAGTCGGCTTGGGTGGGCGAGATCTTCTGTCCAGCTAATCAGTAAAGTTCGGCAGTGTTGTCCCTAAAGCACCTCTTGAATTTCCTCTGGAGTGTATTGCGTTGGGTGGGGACCTGTGAGCAGGTCCCTGCTGGCCTAGAGCTGATCCTTTGACAGTCCCTTTGTCTACAATGCCCTGAGGCCAAGATTTTGATCTCATCCACACTCTTTGCCCTAAGCATCCCCAAGATCATTTATTCAGGCAGGTCTCAGTTACCCTCTGTTGGAGTGGAATATATTTATCTAGGGAACACTGCGTAGCCCCTGCTCTCCCTGGGACACCTGCCCAGGCTCCTCCTCCACAGTCCCAGTTACCGATCTCCCGGGGCCCATCAATGCATCCGGCCCCCAGCTGTCTGCGAGGTCGATGCTGTGCTGCTACATGCTAGCACTTTCCTGGTTGTCTGGTCTCAGAGTTGCCACGACAATTCTCGTTACGTGCAGAGTAAGCAGAGGATGTCCTGCGTATTGCCAGGAGTGACATTTACTCTGCCCTGCAGAGATCTTCACCTGCCTCCGTCCATGCTGTGTTGCTGTTGGCAGAGAAGGAGGTGGCTGCACACCTGGAGAAGTTACCTGGAATGCAGGTGAGGGCTGGAGCAGCGTTTTCAGCAGCTGCTCCCTAGCCTCGTCTCTATACTATTTGCACCTTCTCCTGCAAGGAGAACAGAGTCTGTATTGACGGATGGTCCCTTCCTTTCCTCCCTCGTCTCTGCAGTCAGGAGGATGGAGCTGGACCGACGTGCTCCCCCACCTCATCTCCACCTTGGCCTAGCTCACCAGGGCTCCATCTGTGCCGGCAAGAGCAGTGGCTAGATGGATTCTCTCTGTCTGTGTGTCTGCCCTGGTCGTGTTGCTAGAGCTCAGGTTCCACTATTCCCATGCCATCGTCAGTAGAGCCTGCCCAGGTGCACAGTCCTCCCTCTCGTTATGAAATACCTGGACCCTGTCTCGGATGAGGAGCAGGGAGAGGTGCCCTTCTCTCTGTCTGTGGGGCCTTTATCCTATTGTCTGTCTCCCAGGCTGGTAATTCTTGCCGCCCTCACATTGTTTGACGGCAGTAATGGACTGCAGCCACCCAGGGGAAGCCGAGTACTTTCCCAATTACTTCCACACGCTGGACACGGGTATTAGCATAATAACTCAGAACTTGAAAGGGTTTATTATTCTTTTAATGCTGCTCTGTTTAATTAATATAATGTGAAATATTAATGAGTTCGATTACCCAGCTTGGCTGTCCTGGCAGATTTACTAAAATGCCAGCGTTCTGCTGTGCATTCGAAAACCACAGAGCCCCAGGGAGCTTCAGTTAGAGATAGTGACTTTTCTGAGCCAGCGCTGGGTCAGGGTCTCGGGAAGGAACCAGAACTGCTAAAATGCTAGGGCCAGCAGCTTTTCTCACCAGGCCCCATGCAAAGCCTGTTGAAGCCACTTCAATGGGCTTTGGGTCGAGTCCCCAGTGGGCAACACCCTGAGGTCTGTACTCAGCGAGCGTTTGTCTGAATAAAGACCGAGTGTAAGAAACCACAGCTGCACACAGACCCCAGGGTCTTGCATGGGGATGAAACCAGGATGAAACAAGCCCCTCTACCTCTTGAGCCAACAGAGGAACTGACTCATTTGCTGCCAGTAACTAGCAGGCAGTTCTGCTCGCTAGAGGGAGACACAGCTGCGCGCACTGAGCCAGCACATTGCATGTGGGATTCAGGATTTACAGCCTAGCCAGGCAGGAGCGGACAGCTGGGAATCTCAGCCAGCAGCCTCTCCTTCTGACTCTTCCAGCCCCATTTTGCAGATTCAGGCAGCAGGGATCATTTGGAGAAGGAGAGAGGGATTTTCATGCCCAAAGGCTTCAGGATCCCCTTGGGGAAGCCTTGCCAAACCAGACTCTTACCCACCACTCTCACAGGCAGTGGTGGGCTGGAGCCGCTTCGCGCAAACCGGTTGTTAAATTCTGAAGCCGGTTTAGAACCGGTTGTTAAAGGGCTGGGGAAGCTCAGGCGGGACGGACAGGATGTGGCCCACGGGACCGCCCTGTCCATCCCGCCTGAGCTCTCGGCTGGGGAGGCTCCCATGTGAATTTTTACTGACCCGGTGGCACTCTGAGCCTTCGGTAGCACTTCGGCAGCGCGTCCTTCACTCACTCTGGGTCTTCGGCGGCATTTCGGCGGCAGGTCCTTCAGTGCTGCCCAAGCCCCGGAGGGACTGAAGGACGTGCCACCGAAGTGCCGCCCAAGACCCGGAGCGAGTGAAGGAACCGGTTCTTGAGCTTCTGGCAGCTCATCACTGCTTACATGCCCCTGTAAGAGCTCACCATCGTATTTACAAGTGGTGTCCCTCCCTCCTGCAGGTGGAGGTGCTGACTTCCCTCAGAGCTCTGGGCCGATATGTCGACAGCACCCAGCTGACGCCAGACTTGGATGGTACTTTCCCTTACAGCCACGGCGAGTGGGTTCAATTCTTCCAGGTGTCTATTATCATGGCCTTTAGCTTTCTCCTTGTGTTTGCTGGAGCCCTTGTCCCTCAGCAAGGGACTTGCTTCTCTTGGGGCATAAAACTGAAAGTGAAGATCACTGGCAAATCCCTGGTACCTTGGTAATGCAGGAAGACAATGTACGAGAATGCACAGGCTACTGGTACTGCAATAACACCCGACTGCGGGGAGAGTGAATTTGGCTGCAGGTTACACCAACTGGTTGCAGTGCAATAAGTACATCCATGTTTCAATGTATCACAAAAATTGTGTGTGTGTGAGAGAGAGAGAGAGTGTGTGTGTGTGTGTGTGTGTGTGTGTGTGAGAGAGAGAGAGAGACAGAGACAGAGAGAGACTGAGAATTCCCATGGAATGCCCGGAAGCAAGCAGTGGTTTTCATGTGTATTACACATAAGTTCAAGAAATTAACAAGAAGGCCCAGAACTTTAGCTAAATATCAATAGCTACCTCAGTTCTGCTTAGAAATTTATTATCTACAATGTCTCTCTGCAATTAACCTTCCCACCCTGCTTATTGGCTGCATTGCTATTCATCCATATTTCCACCTGATTGTTTCCCTATCAGCCATTAAACTACTGTCTAGCTGTTTATACATCCATCCAATCTAAACCTTTTCCCCCTCTCTACCCTAAGCCTGTTTTGCCATCCATCCGTCAGCCCTCCTGGCCCAGGACAGGCCAACCCACTTGTGTTTCCTTCCCCGTAGAAGCTACATCCCTTTGTGGCTGATCTCAAGCAAGCCTCCAAGCTACTGCAGAGCTCCATCCAGGAACTGGAGAAGGGCGACTTCCCAGAGGATGTGCAGGTAACAGCCATGGTGCCGAGTTCCAAACAGGACAGCCTGCAACCAGCTCTGGGCGCAGTTACCCCCCCAAACATCAGTATGTGCATTGTGCTGCCCATCATCTCCTGCTGCCCAATGGCAATCCGGCCCTGGGCAATTCCTGCTCACCGGGAGAGCCAGAGGAACTCTCTAGGTGCATTTGATCAAAAGCAGCAGTGAATCTCTCCCCCAGCTTTTGCTTGCTTCATAATCAGTATTTAAGAGCACAGAAGCAATTATTATATTGCAAAACAATTTTTAAGCCAGCCTTGTGCTTTTCTGCTGGCACAGCCCACAAGCTGCGTCAGGCCAGGCTGTGTCACTGCTCGGACTGCAAGGAACCGCATGCAGCAGTCACAGTGAATCTGTACTGGAGCTGGAGACCTGGCAAGGTGCGATGCACTGTTCTGCTGAAGATGCTGTTTATTGGCTAAGACTTAACACCAACACCCTGATTACTTGTGGTCACTGCAGATTCCCTGGGAAGGTCTGCAAGAGGAGGAGTGTGAACGCTAGTGCCCTGTCAAATTCCAGTCCATATCATTCCGAAGTGCCTGCCTGAAGCCCCTGTGCAGGTCCCAGGGGACACAGACAGCTGCCATGTTGCACCCCAAAGGTGGCTGCAGTCAGTGGTGGATGAGGTGATCTCTGCGTTGAGTTTGTTACTGTCTCATGCCCAGAACGCACGTTGGGATCCCCTGGCCAAGGGACCACAGAACCGTAGGGTTAGAAGGAACCTCAAGGATCCTCTAGTCTAACCCCCTGCCATGATGCAGGACTTGTGTCTAAACCCTCCAAGACAGACGGCTCCAGCCTCCTTTCGAAACCCTCCAGTGAAGGCGCTTCCACAACTGACCTAGGCAGTCGGTGACTCAGATAGCTCCTCCAGGGCTCTATTTGCAGGACAATGTGTGTTTCCCATGGCACGTGGCATTTAACTCCATTTTGTCCCAGGGTAAAATCAAGTGCCCTTGGCCTTTTCTGACCTCAGGCTGTGTCCCCTCTCTTACCTTCGCCCCTGACCGCCAACTTGGTGCTGTTGATTCAGAGGGTGATGGGGCAAAGGGCAGGGCAATCCCAGTGACAAGCGTGTGTGTCTCTGATCCTTGGGCAGGAGGCAGCCGAGTGCATGGAGAGGTACAGGGAGCTGATGAAGGCAGTGCTCAGCAACGTGCAGCTGGTCAGCTTGCAGAGAGAGGGTGGGGCCACGCTGGCCAGGCTGAGGAAGGAGGCATCCCGGCTTAGCTTCTCACCGGACGTCAGGTATGGAGGACTGGAGCCATCCCTGTCCCAGAAGAGGGTCACTGAGCACCAAGCTCTCACCCTACTGACTTCAGGATGCTTGTGCCTTTGGCACTGGCTGCACTTGCAGATCCCCTGCTCCTCTGGGGACAATGCAGCATATTACCCTCCAGCACAGGCTTCTCGCCAGCCCTTCAAGGTGTTCCCCGCACCACCCGCTTCCCCAGGCCTAGCTCTGCCAGCTCCCACCAAGCCTTCAGGCCCAAGCTCCCAGGAGTAGTTCCACCGCCCCTTTCAGCCCAGGCCTGGTAGGTGGCCATGGACCATTCGCTTGAGCAGGGTGAGGATTTTCTCCCTGGGCTTTGCTGGAGAATGTGTGCACGTGTCACTAGGAAGAAGAGGAGCTCGTGTCCCCTGCAGAGCTCAATTCGATGCAACTATAAACAGATGTCATCCAATGTTACTTCATTTTATTTTCTAGTGTGGCTGCTAGATGGCACTGCTTCCCAATAATATCACCTTAGAGACTAACCCATTTATTTGAGCATAAGCTTTCGTGAGCTACAGCTCATTTCATCGGATGCATACTGTGGAAAGTGTAAAATATCTTTTTATATACACACAAAGCATGAAAAAATACCTCCTCTCACCCCACTCTCCTGCTGGTAATAGCTTATCTAAAGTGATCACTCTCCTTACAATGTGTATGATAATCAAGTTGGGCCATTTCCAGCACAAATCCAGGTTTTCTCACCCCTCCCCCCCACACACACAAACCCACTCTCCTGCTATCACATTGATTCCAGCCAGCCGCCCGCCACAAAACCTGCCAGTTTCCTTCTCCCTCAGTTTATGCCACTCTTCCCCCACTCCTTTGTCTGAGCTCCTCTGCCTCGCTTTTGCGCACAGGCTGTGACAGAGTCAGGTGGGGTGGAGGATATTTCCAAGGTGATAGAGAGCGGAGTTGGCAAGCGCCATCCCTCCCTCTGGTATCCAGCATCCAACTCCAACCTGCTCAGTGTAACTGGGAGATGGCTGGACATGTGCAATCACCTGACATTACACCTGCAGCTATTCAGGCTCCAAACACCTGGAGAGTAACATGTACCTTGCCCCAGGGCCGGCCAGTCTGTGGGCACAAACTGCTCCCACACAGAGCAATACAATGAGGTTTTCTGGACAGGTACAAATCCAGTGAGTCCCCTCATGTGTTAATGGGATTGGAAACATTTGCAGCATGGCTCAGCTTGTGGCAAAGCATCACCTACAAGTTACAGCCCCTCTGCGACCTCCGCTCTGGCTCCCAAGCTGGGCTACAGTGCGGAGGAACAGGACTGCGGCTCTTCCACTCCGCACATGCCATCCTTCAGTGCCACTGTGCTAATAAGCAGAGCAATCTTTGCACATGGTCTTTCTCAGCTCCCAACAGTGTGCATCAGGGTCATAACTAGAACCCAGGTCCAGGGAGCTCACGGACAAAGGCTAGGGTTCCCCTGTGCCCATTAAAGGGATTGTGATGCTCAGAGGACTCCCTCTGTTGGTTTCTTTACCAGGAATCAGAAGGGAACAGCTCTAATTCTAGGAGGGGTGGATGGTCTTCTGCACACCAGCAGCTGATATGTTGTAGGTGAACAGAGATGGGCCAGATATACTTATCACCCTTTTTGTTCTTAAGGAACAGCATGGACTCAGCCATGGGCCTCTACAACCAAGTGGAAGAAGAAGTTCACACTTTGGTGATGAAATCCAACAGCTGCCTGGAGCGCCTGGAGTTTCTCCGAAAGATCCAGGAGTTTGAGGCAGAATTCAGCAAGGTGAGTGCTTTCCCCAAGACATGCTGCCGGAAAGGACAGCTTGCACCTTGGATACCATGGCAACATTTGCTGAATCTCATTCATCGAATCCAGGACCCAGTCACTAAGTGACAGAGCAAAAAATTTCTTTGCTTCAGCTCTGAGTTGAGTGAAGCAAATAAACTTCTCTGCTTATAGCGTGGGCCACTGATACCAAGTGAACATGGAGAACAACAAGATTTTCTTGAAGCCCTGATTTTAATCACTAGGTTACTGGGAAAAATATGTTCACGAATTCTGTGAAATCTGGATGACCCAAGGGAAGGAGGGGAAATTCCCAGGGAAGTGGCAGCTGTTAAATAACTGAGATCTCATGGAAATCCTATATATTTCTTCTCATAGCTCACTTGCTGGATTGATGAAGGAGATTCTCGGCTCCATGAGCTGAGCACTGAGGAATGGAGCCCGGACAGCCCAGAGAGATCCTACCAGCAGTTTAAGGAATTCTTTATTCAGGCTACAGTACGTTTGAGGATACTTTTCTGTAACCTGTGTCCTGGCTATAGCTATATTGTCTGTGTCTGGAACATGGTCCTTGCTAGGGCTCTTTGCCAGATTCTCAGAATGAACCAGAATTAGAGCTTCTCACATTTCATTGCAATTTTGTTACAAATGGCCCAATATTGTTACAGATCTGCAGAAAATGCCATTTTTGACTGTTTGAGCAATAATGGGCCCATCTAAAGGGCTAGTATGATCAACATTTAATTGTCAGGTCAAATTTTTGCAAGGAGGTTCCCAGTGTTGCACAGCCCTAGTCCCAAATGTGAGACAATCCTTATACTTCTGGATCATGTATGGGCTCCGACCCCTAACACTCCTGCCTCCTCATCCCTCTCCCAGCCTCCAGCTCTGGAGGGCAGTCATTGTGTTCCAAGGGGGGGTCCAGTGCTGTGGGAAAGTCCAGGAGAGGGTTCTGTGGAGCCTGAGGCTTCTGTTTAATCAACCCAAATAAGAAGTCCCATGCAATGCACTGAATTAAATGATGTCAAAGCATGGGGAGTGTAGAATGAGACCCTCCACTCTTATTTCCTCCCAAGACAGAATGATTCTCTTCTGCTTCCTTGCACACCCAGACATGTTTGTGCCCAAATGGAGAACATTCCTCTGACTTTGTTGCTGAAATCTTCCAGCTGCAGAGCTCCTGGCCCTCAGCAAACAAGGCCCCCAGGATAAAGACAGCCGAGCCTGTTTAGGAATATATAGTTTTCCTTGTATCCTCCCTTAGGCTCACTACAACAAAGGACTTGTGCTATGTAAGGAAGCTGCTGAGTTCCAAGGCTCCATGTTCCCAGAGGCACAAGCCTTCGAGGCAGCCAGAGGTACCATGCAGGCCAAACTGAGGAGTTTCTACATGAACTTGGAGAGGCAGCAGGCTGAGCTGGAAACTCTGCTCAATCTCTGCAGGTTCTGTGACAAGGTGACTGTGCTAAGCTAACTGCTCCATATTGTTACTCTGCAGCAAACTGGAACTAGACAACATTGCTTTCAGCCAGGAGATGGGAATCTGTAGGGTAGAGTGTGAAATGTATGAGCAGTGAAATAGTTTGAGGCCCCCAGTGCTGATTGCATAGCAAGGAAACGGAGCGCCCCCCAGCCTCGGCTCTCCCTAGAGGATGTGCTCTCCTGACACTGGTAGAGACAAACTAGTGAAGAAACTCAAGGCTGGTGATTATGATGGAGTTTCTGTAGGACTCCAGAAGGAAGTCGGTGTGGAGGGGCTGCAGCAGAACAGGGGATGAGAGACGTTACAGAGGAATAAATAAGCAAGTGGGAAATGAGGTTTGGAGAGAGAGAGAAAAGTTCACTAGATGGAGAGCATGGGAAGGAGGTTGCAGTTGGCTGAAGGTATAAGAGAAGGTTCTTGCACCAGCAGCAGGCGGGATCCTGGGGGAGGAGAGACAGCAGGTACTAGATGAGTGACAAAAAAAAAACAAAAAACTATTGCTCTGTTTTCTAGATAACATTGCTTAACCTTGACTGCAAAATTCACGTGACTTGTGTGAAGCTTGGAGAGGGACAGCCAGTAAGTCGGGAGGCCCTACAATGCCTAGAGAAATCATTACAGAAGCTAACTGTGGAGTTTTCAGCAGAGAGGTTCCAGGAGATGAAGGTACAAGCCTACACCATGCACAGCTGCAAAGGACTAGAGGTATGGAACAAGGCATGGCAGAAGTGTCAAGAAACCAGGCAGATCCTTGAGGAGATACTGGAAAAATTCAAGGAGGCCCAAAGTGTTGAGCCAGACTGTAGTGGGGAGGAAGATTCTTTCAGCTCAGCTGCTACTAAATCAGGCCCCAGAGTCCAAGGTAAAGTTCCTCATGTTTGCAAAGCAGCTTCCAACCCTGCCCAAGCATCAGCAGAAAGCAAGACACAAGTTCAAGAATCAGGATGCAAAGCAAGGAGTGAGATAGAATTAAAACCACATCTGCCCACAGACTCTGACCTAGACATAGATCCCAGGGACCCCAGGTGTTCTCAGCAGGAATCCTTGGACTGCAAGGATGTGCAGGAGAGCAGATGTACTTATCAAGCCTCAATAGCAGCTGAAGAGTCTCCCCTGAGTGCTGCAAGTGGAGCTGATCTTGAACAGAGAGAAGCCCTGGCTCCGAATCCCAGCACGGAGGCCTTAGGAAGCCTCCAAGTGGCACCCCCTCAGAAGCCACCTCTGACTCTTCCATCACAAGCCTGCTGCCCAGACAGTGGCCAGTTTCCTCAGGACAGCGCGAGCGAGTCCCTGGGTGATGCGCCTTGCTCAGCCCCCAGCACAGGTGCTCAGCAGCACTGGGGTAAGGTGCCGGAAGCAGCCCAATATTTCCAGGTATCCAGGCATGGCAGCTTTTCGTCTGAAGATACAGAGGCACAGAACTCGGCCCAAGACCCTTCAACAACCAGTCTCCTTTTGCCCATGGAACTCGTGAGTCCTAGACTGTCCGGGCCTCTGGGAAAGCCCCTGGGAATCATATATCTGGAAAACCACCACACAAATAGCCATGCAAAAGCAGATGCTGAGTAAAACCAGCTCTTTCGAAACTAGGTTGGCTTTGTCTTTCCAGTCCTGGCAACTTTGGCCACGGAGTGGATGTACTGTCTAGTGATTAGAGCACACGACTGGGCATCAGACCTACTGGGCTCTACTCCTTACCTTGCCATTGACTCATTTCTTGGCCTTAGGCAGGTTACTTCACTCCTCTGTGCCTAAGTTCTACCCATCTGCAAAATGGGGATAACAATACTTACCTACCTCACGGAGAGTTGTGAGGCTCAGTTAATAATCTTGAAGTGCTTTGTGGTCCTCCTATGAAAGGCATCCAGCTGGGTAAGTGAAGGGTATTGGTTGAGTTAACAGTAACGTTCTCCTGGTAAAAAGAAAAGGAGTACTTGTGGCACCTTGGAGACTAACCAATTTATCTGAGCATAAGCATCTGATGAAGTGAGCTGTAGCTCACAAAAGCTTATGCTCAAATAAATTGGTTAGTCTCTAAGGTGCCACAAGTACTCCTTTTCTTTTTGCGAATACAGACTAACACGGCTGTTACTCTGAAACCTGCACTGATCATGCATCTCACTATAGGATGTTCCTCACTGCTGAATCTTCCCCTGTCCAGAGCTGCCAGGCCTCGGAGTGTAAATTGTTACCACAACAGAGCTATCACCAAATCCCTCCTTCCTCCTCCCAACTCCCCTGCCTTCCAGTGGAATTTCCCTCCTGCCTACATGTATTACTGTCTCCTTTCCCTCCTCATCTATGGGGCTACTGCAGCTTGTTTTGCAATATTTTGTCCCTGTTAAAACAAGGCTAATTTTATTAACAATAGTAAACCCCAATGCAGAGCTCTCAGTGTAGAGCAGTGCAGAGGAAACGACATTCCAGCCTACAGTCAGACAGCGCCCAGAGTCTGTTCCAGCTGCGAACAGAAATCCTTCTCGGGTGCTACTACTCCTGCAGGAGGAGCCAGAGGAATAAATTCAAGGTGAGCACCAAAATCCAGTCCTGATTCATCTTCTCTTAGCAGCTGTGCTCAGTATACTCTAAGTGGGCCAAAAAAGAAATGTCAGATTCTACTCCTCCCATAATCCATCCCCAGCAGACAGCCATTTATTCTCCTTAATCCAAGGGTGGAAATTTCAGTTGGCTCCTGGACAGACTTTCAAGCACACGGGACCCACCGGTGTGTGTACAAAACGCAGGCAGGGATGTCCATAACTTGTACGCCGTGTTACAGAGACTGTGCATGCAAGCGGCCGTTGTTCGCAGTTTGCACACACTGTTCCCCAGTAATCTTGTGTGTGAGTGGTTTAAAAATCCGTCCCTGGGTGTCTGCCTCGGAAGGGTTGTGGTGAAGTCTTGAGTGTTTTTCTTTTTAACAAAACATTCAAATCCAGGCTCGTCTCTCAGACTGCACTGCCTCCTCCTCCTCCTTTTCCCCATCCCCTTGTCAGTTCAGAAGGGTGCGTTGTGTTTGGTTCCATCCTGTCCCGCACAGCCAGCTGGCAATAGAACAAGAGGACCTGCTTCCAGGCCTGTGGGGTCGGGTCACTGTCCTTCCTGGATTGTAAGGCAAGGAGGGACCATTCTGGTTACTAGTCTGAGCTCCTGCATAAACATAGGGAGTTCAAGCCCAGAAGGGATTGTGAGATCATCTGGTCTGACCTAGATCACAGGTCCTCAACTTTCACTCCGTTGCCCCTGTATTGAAACAACTCACTTATGTTTGGCCGAAGCATCTTCCAGACAGAAGCATCCAGCCCCAGGCTCTGAGTCTGCTTTTCTCCTCTCAAAGCCCTGTCGGACGCAGGATTTACACTGGACAAAGTCACCTCTCAGCCTTCGTTCCAATAAGCAAAGCAGATTGAGCTCGGTCACTGGCTCACTGCCAGCCATTTTGTCCAGCCCTCGCGCCTTTTTTCTGCACCTTGTCCAAAATGTGGACCTCAGACCAGGACACGGGATCCAGCATCGCTCTCACCAGTGCCATTTACAGAGGTAAATCACCTCCCGGCTCCACCTCACCACTCCCCTGTTTAGACCCCCAAGGACCACATGAGCCCCGTCTGCCACAGCATCACTCTGGGAGCTCCCGGTGAGCTGCTGGTGCACTGTGACCTCTAGATCCTTTTCAGAGTCCCTGCTTTCCAGGACAGTCCCCCAGGCTGTAGGGATGCTCTTCACTCCTGTCCCGAGACGTATAACTATGCATTTGACTGTATTAAAACACATTCTATTAAAATGGACCCAGAATACCAAATAACCCAGACTGCTCTGTCTGACAGCCCTGTCCTCCTCATTTTTTACCACTCAGCGAATCTTTGTGTCATCCGCAAATTTTATCAGCAATGATTTTATATTTACTTCCAGGTAACTGATGAAAATGTCAAATAGCATTGGGACCAGCGCTGATCCCTGCGGAACCCCACTAGAAACACCCCCATTTGATGGTGATTCCCCATTGACAACTACTTGAGATCTGTCAGTTTGCCAATTTATAGTCCATTTAATGGGTGCTTTATTGATATTGTATAGCACTAATTTTTAATCCGAATGTCATGCAGTACTAAATCAAATTCCTTACAAAAGTCCAGGTATATTACATCCATGCAGTTATCTTTAGCAACCAAACTTGTAACCTCATCAAAGAATGAAATCAGGTTTGTTGGACAAGACTTATTTTCTGTAACACTTGCTGCCTGACATTAATTATATTCCTTTAATTCTTTATTAATTGAATCCTATATCAGATTTTCTATTATTTTGCCCAGGATTGATGTCAAGCTAGCTGGCCAGTCATCCTGCTTGCCCTTTTTGAATGTTGTCACAAAATTAGCACTCTTCCAGTCTTCTGGAATGTCCCCGATATCCCATGTTTTATTAAAAATGAACCTCACTGAGACAAAGATATTCTCAGCCACCTCTTTTCAGACTCTTGTATGCAAGTTATCCAGGCTGCTGATATAAAAATGTTTATCCCTAGTACATGTTGTGTAACATACTCCTTGATTACTAATAGACTGGAAAGTACTCCATTCATCATGTAATACAAAAATATCACCCTGCTTCTTTCCAAATACAGAACAGAAATATTTATTGAACATTTATTTCTACCTTTTCTGCACTATTAATTGTTTTACCATTTCCTTCTAGTAATTGGCCTATATCATTGCAAGGATTTCTTTTGTTCCTAATACACTTTAATAAACTCCTTAGTATTGTCCTTAGCCCTCCCAGATGTGGATTTATCTGTAATATCTTTAGCTTCCTTTATCAATTTTCTATACTTCACAACTTCTAATTTATATCATGAGCTATCCTTTCCCCCCCCCCCACCCATTATATGTGGCTTTTTTATTTCTAATTGCTGCGTTCACTACCCCATTGGACCAGGAGGGTTTTTAGCCAATATTTTCTTCCTTGAGGTAGAATCCTGGCTTTTATTAGGATCCTAATAAACTCTGCTTAAACAACTCCCTATTTTCATTTGCATTTTTCTGTGTAAAATTTTTCCTCCTAATCAATTTCATTCATAGTTTACCTCAGGTTTGGGACATTGACTGCTTTGAAGCACCAAACCTTTTTATTACTGGTTGGGACTGCCCTCTTTTTTCCCAGATTGAATGTAATCAGGTCATGATCACTAGTCCCTAGGCAACCACCAACTTGCAGTCTAGTGATTAAATCCACTTTATCAGTCATAATGAGATCCAAAATAACATCACAAACCACCGCAGGCCACAGAATTTCATTCAGGGATTCCTGCATCAAGCCCATCATGTCTGGTTGAGCTGGAGCATATATGTTTGGAAACGTAGAGAAACTGCCTTGGTTTCTTAGCACCCGTTTCCTATGGGAGTCAGACGAGCACTGGAGCAGCATCTGTCCAGAATGCTGCTTCCTTAGACGCATGGGTGTCCTGGGAAGGGGAATGTGGTTGTGGGTGTGCATGAAGCGAGGAAACTTTCTTCCTATGGGTCTTTCTGAAGGAGCTGGACACCTTAGCAGCAGTACCCGGGCTCTTAGCAAAGACTAGGTGGGGCAATCTCCCAGACCATCGTAGTCATCTGCCATGTCCTCTGCACAGCTTTCTGACACAAAGGAAAATGAAGGAGGCCACATAAGAGCATTTCCGAAGCCATTAGATTCAAGATGCAGCCACTGTCCTCCACCTCCATGTGCTAAATCCCCAATACCAGCTGAAGGCTTGTGCTGCACAGAAGTTCCTGACCCATGCTAAGGCCAAGGAAAGAATAAGCGGGAGTTATTCTTTCTAGGAATGCACACAATGATTTTCTTGTGTAACCCTTCTGCCAATCAGAGTTGGTAGCAACAAGGGCCGGGTTCAGTATCTAGGGGTTCCTTTTCAACAATACAACACAAAACCGGCTCAAGCCCCCAACCAGTGACCTGGGACAATTACACACCAACCACGGGTGCCTCAAAGAGGAAAAATATGATAATTGCTGAAAATATTGTGATGGTATAGCAGTGTTAGAAGGATGTCATCTTTGGATATAAAACCACTGAATGTTACATTTTCACAGCATGTCATTGGATGAGCATCTTCTATCCATAGCCAGGGCTGCTTTTGATTATCTCTGCAATCCTGTTAGACTCGGAGCACTGCTCAACAGTGAAGAGACGGAGATGCTAATCAATATTTTTGTCATTTTTAGGGTTGATTATTCTAATGAATTCTTTGGGTTTCTCAGCCAGGCTGCTAAAAGACAACAGCTGATAGGGAAGGTGCCGGCCTGATCGGGATCTAGTTTATCCAATCAGATAATTCAGAAGATGAAATCTCTCTAGTGGCCATAAATAAAATATCATACTGATTTTAAAAGTGCTTTACTTGTTTAAAAGGACAACAACAACAACGCCCCAGAAGACTTTTATGCTTTGCTATTTTCTTATGTTCACTGTTGTTATATGGAGGTCAGGATGTGTTGTTTACTGAAGTGCCCTTGATACAGGATCTGGCAGAATTTGGGGGATAGAGCCTTGGATATTCTGTCCTCTCCCCTTACTTACCTGGGCAAACTAAGTCTCTTTTAATTTCTAAATGGAAATTGAAAAAGGAGCCCTTTATCTTTCACTGATTTTAACTGTGTACACTACCCTGGGAATCCTTTGAAAGGCGGCTGTACAAATGCATTATTTATCATGATCTGGAATGGATCAAAGTGCCTGTCTCTAACCATCCCTAAACGATGGGAGGGAAGTTTGGAATCTGGATCCAAATTTTGCAGGCAAACCACTCCCTGCCGCCAACTCTCACCCATCACTGAATTTTGCAGATTAAAATAATGGATCAGAGCTTTATGACTTGGGCTCATCTCTAAATATTAGCACCCAGAAAGCCAGAAAGAACAATAGTTTGGCTCAGAGATGAGTAAGGAACTATCTGCAAATGCATGAAGAGCTAGAGCATCAGAATTAAGGAGGAGAAGAATTACTTAGGGCTGGTCAGGGTAGAGGGCTGACGATTATGGATGATGATGATGATGATATGTGAGAAAAGTCAGACTGGATATCAGGAAAGGCAAAGGCAGCAAAAGGGGCTTTCAGGGAAGCATTGGTCTCCCCCATTGCAGCAGTCCCTCATGCTCTGGCTACACAATGACCTGACTGGCAGGGAATGGAACAGATGCTCCAGAAGGCATTTGCCATCTCTAGGTTTTGAGGGATGCACCTTTGCTGTGCAGTTCTCACAGATTGGCATGACCCAAACTTTGCCAGGTAAGGGGCTGTGCTGAGACCTGATTGCAGCAAAGGGTGTCTCAGGAAACCTACATGCTCCAGGAAACAAAAAAGGGCTGCACACCAGATGTCTGGAGGAGCCTCTGGGACCAGGACGTTGTGAATACAGATGAGCTGATTCAGGTCAGACCACTATCAGTCTGTGGTCAAGAGGGAAGCCTCTGGCTTGGCGTCATGCTTTCATTGCCTGTATTTAAGTGGGAGGGATGTCTGAGTGAAGATCCAGAGACAGAATATATCTAACACTCCACCGATTTAAACAGAACTGACAAAATGCATGTGAGAGGGAAAGACACACAACCCTCCCCAATTTAAGAAGCAATCAGTAACCTCTCTCATCTGCCCCTGCCTTGCTGAACTGCTGACTCTCCTGATTCTGCCTTGCCACCTGGCCTGACCTCACCTGCCTATTCTGCCAACCTGGCCCCTTCGACCGAATCTCCTGGCTACCGACCCGCTGCGAGAACTCTGACCACTGCCTGGACTCCCTCTAATACCAATTGACCTGCCAGCTACCAGACCGCACAGGTATCACTTGATCACGGCTCTGAATGTCAGCCACTGGGCAGGACACTCTCTGTCCTGTACTGCTTCTCCATCAGGTAGGCAGTAATAGTGATACCAGGCTCAGTAGGAGGACAGTGGGAGTCGCTGAGGCTGGTGCTAAGAGCAGGTGCTGTGCTGTCCTGTCCTGTTCATCAGTAAGACATTGCCACTGATTTCTACCTAGGAACGTTTTGTAAACTCTCTTATCCTTCATTCTCAATGGCCTGTTCCCCGACGGATCAGGCTAATGGCAGTGAGGGTGCTGCGGTGTCCTTCAAAGGACAATGCCTGTTGTTTTGGGCTTGTTGGAGATTATGAATGTTTCCAACACACTTGAGTAGCAAAGAGGCCTCCCAGCCCAATCAGCCATTGCCTGCTCAATGTCATCCAGAAGCTAATTGTTCACAGTTTAGCATATGCCAGTTGGCAAAATATCTGAGCTGACATCTGCACCGGTCTCACAATGGACTTTGGCAGAGGACCTTCTTGGAGAACAGCGTTTGTGGGGAGGTTATTTGTTCCTGGTGAACTCCGTGCTTGTGAAAGGTGCTTGACTGGCAGGGCGACGCAGGGACAGCCTTGATTTATCTACAGGTCACTGGCAGGGCAATCTGCCTTTCCTCGTCCCCTGACAATGGCCCGCCACAGCCTGGTCTAGGGTGAAGCATCAGTCAGGCTGCGTGGCCTGCTTAGTCCTTTGCCGAAATCATGAACAAAGAAGCTGGCTGTGATGTGAGTCTCACGCCAAGAAGGTGCCTAGTACCAGCAGCTTGGCTGGCATTTGAGCCAGCGACCTAGAGAGACCCACCCTGTCCCTTACCAATCCCTTGGGCCATCCACAGCCTCCTTTCACTTTGTTTTAATCTATTGCTGAATCACTCACCACACCCAGCTTCTAATCAGAGACAAACCCTGAAATCTGACCAGTCCTGACCTTTGGGTGGGAACAGGAGTGTCATGGAACCCTGGCAAGAGACAGCCACATCTGGGGAAGCAGGGGGTTTCCCTAATCCCAATTCCTGTGTTCTGTGGGAATGTGCACTCGAGCATCAGAGCAATGAGACTGCACAAACCAGCTGGGATCTCTAGGGAAACCTGCATGTTCCTGGAAATCACTTCGCTTCTCCCTTTTCCCACAAATCCACCAGCTGAAGCTCCACCAATGGGAATGTCAGTGGGTCCAGAAACTCTGAACCCAGCAGTCTCAGACCCACTTCAAGGCTCCTTTGCACTGCCAGAACTGTGTAAGGGGCCTCTGTGCAAAGGACAATTGGGCCCATTAGTGTTTAAGGTACATCTGCCTGGCAATGCTTTATGGGTGGCATCTACGCCATGAAAAGGCATCTGGATTTTATGCTGCTGTCTTTATAGATGAAAAAACACAGAGGCATGGGGGGGGGGTTCCCCACTCAACCGACATGAATATTTTCTCAAACAATTCTCATGTTATCATTTTTATTTAAAAAATTCATGGAAAATTTTGAATAAAATTACTGATTTTCTTTTCTTTCAAAAATGTTTGTCTTGCTGCCCAGCCAGTAACTGAGACCAGACTGGAGAGCTGCCGGCAAGCCAGGGAAGGTGCAGTATTGTTCTAAGAAGAGCTCCATGCTCTCAGATTCTCAGCTGTCCTGCCTGCCTTCGGTTTTCTGCACTCATTTGGATGGATGCTCCCAAGAAAAGCCTTTGCATCCTCTTGTAAAACCTTTCCTTGTGTCTCCTTCCCTTTCACTACTTGATTTATAGCTGATAGTCTGACCAATTAAGCTGCAACCTTTCTGGAAGCCAAGTGCAGGAGATAATGAATGTTTCTTCCCCATCCCTGAAATGGCAAAATCATTTGTCAAGAGATCTCCAACAGCTCTGCAGAGAGTCCTGGAAGTGTGAGGTGAGTTGGGCTTGAAGGTATTTCAAGTGAACAATTATTTTAGGCTGAGATGGGGAGGGGGGTTGCAGTCCAAAGACTGGTGGCCCCCAGAGGCTTTGAGAAAATTATTCTCTTTCCAAGGGAAAAGCTAATCAATCTTAGATGTAAAAGAGAAGAGAGAAGGAGCAACAGACAGAAACTGACCCACTGAAACTAAGAAACAAAACTACGGTCACAATTTACAAGCATTAGCAGGGGCCTCATTCCCCGGCAAGCTCCAGGTATTGTTTGAAACAATCTCTAAGATTGTGTCTTCTTTTCTATAACAGAGCTAAGTAACCCAGCTGGTGTCCATTGTGCCTGCATCTCACCCTGTCTCTAGGGAAAGGGGAAGCATCCGTTGCTTCCACAGCAACAACGTCCAGGCTCTGTGGAGAGCTCTCTCTGACATCAGCGATCGAAGCAGGGGAGACAGGTGGGAAGTGAAGGGATGGAGCTAGTGGAGACCTATGTTG